TGTCAAATCAGGTGTGTAGAGACAAGGGACTTTCAAAGCGATGAACATCGATAAGATCAAGAAGCATGAAAACATACCAGTTTCGAGGAGGTAAGGATGGTGGGGATAATGAGTAAGCGATGCTGCATTGACCATTTTTTCAAGAAGCCGGTCAGTCACCTTTTGAGGTGCATATATGCCCATCTCACCTATGAGGCGAATAGCTCCATCAGCTCTTTCCCATAATTGACTTGGTCTTTGGAAAGTATCATCCATACAGCAACCACCTCCACCTATAATACCAAAAACGTGTTCGATAACATTTACAATCATTTTAATTTGGCACAAGTAGAATACTTGCCTTTGTTAGCCCTGGTAGCAAGGGAGCCGCATGAATACATAACTTGGTTAGTGTGCTTTTCGTCATGTGCCTCATTACCCGAACGCACAACCACATTGGCTCCAGGACCTCGGGACATCGACGCGGCCCCCTTGGAGTCAGCGGGCTGATCCACTATGCCATCAAGCTGTTTCTCTGCGAAGTCCAAGTACATCTACAAGAAATTTTGCAAAGCCTCGATTAAGCAAAACACTTGGAGACAAGTCGAAGATGAAAGACACCCTGCATGGACCTTCTCAAGTTCTGAATCGTTAGCTCCCTGAAGGACCTTGGCGATTGAGGCGGCAGCACCTTCTCGCACCGAGGGGATGCAATCAACAAGGTTGTGTAGAAAACGCTCGGCCATGAGATCAGCGTAACCGGCAGCGCGAGTCTCTGTAGGAAAGACTGAGACGAGGTTGCCCAGACCGATACAGGCCGCGTCTCGAACTGGCCAACTTTGGTCCTTGAAACACACCGTCAACGCCCCTAGCAGGCGATTTAGATGCGGCCGTAAGTCGCCACGTGGCAGCTTGATGCCTACCTCTGCCATACATGCACAAGCTGCCTCACGGACCTGTACATTCGGGGTGTTAAGAAAACGATAAAACCTATAATCCTGTGAGGCGTGACCAAGAGACCAAACGCCCTACTCATTATGATCGGAAACATTAAAAATGAGCTTTGGAATTCGCGAGATTTCCGTGCATCAAAGAGCAGTGCAAAATAAACTACTGAATTATCCACTGACTTAACTATGCGACAGGTCATTCGATAGCAACAGATATCACGCCAATAACTTATAAGGAGTGCCGTGACTTACTGCATGATTTTCACTCCTACTCTCCTCTACAAAGTATTCCAGAGTTGGTTCAAGAATCCGAGTAAGAATCTCCCGCCCGCGGCCACCAGTAACCTCGCACCAAGTCTGTTGGCTATAAACCTTAACGCCTTCAGCTACGTAATAACGACTCAGACACAGTGGTGGAAGCAGAATTGGATAAACGCTTTCATGGCTTTGTCCTAGCGGTGGTGGCACTTGAAACAGAAGACGGGTAGTTTTCAGTGCAGCCATTCTCACCTGTAAAAGAGAAAATTATTTCAAGATGAAGTTTAAAAATATCAATGAGATAATACACCACTCACTCGACTCCAGTTGTCATCCAGGCCGGTCCTCAGTTGCTGCGCCACACGTATGTAATCTGAAATATTACCTTCTCCAGAACCTTCGCAGCCTTGATTCTGTATGATAGTGCCCAAAACGTCATAGCCAGTTTCACGGACAAACCTATTCGTGTGGCTGACAGCCTT